GAGACGTGGCAGCCACTGCGCACCCTCCGGGCACGTGTGGCTGAGCACCCAGGCCCAGCGGTCACTGCCGGCTGCGTGTCGGTGAAGAAGTACCACGGCGACCAATAGAAGAGGCAGAGCTGGTCCGGGAGGCAGGCGAGGCGGTGGCGTTCTGTGTCGGGGACAGGCACACGGAGGGCGTGAGGCCGCAGCCGGACCCGCCGCCTGGCACCCACCCTGGGCCGCACACACACACTGACCACCACCTCTCCTCCCAGCGAGTGGGCCGTGCTACGCTGGCCACTCACCCTGGCACTGCCCCTCTGAGTCCCACTGCACACACACGCTGCTGGTCACCTAGGGGCCCGTGGGCCGTGCCATCATGTCCTCGGCCGTCCCATAGAGCAGCAGCGTGTAGCGGTACAGCATCCCTGGGCAGGGGTCGCAGGTGGGCACAGGGAGGAGGGGGACAGGATGTTGGCGGCCTGGTCCTGCCAGTCGCTGGGTCCCCTTTCGAGTGGCTCCCACCCAGACCCCCAGACTCAGATGGCGCTCTGGCTTCTGAGCACGTACTGCTCGCCTACGGACACCCCCTTCTCCCGGGCGACAGCACACCTTCTGCGCTCATGTTCCGTCGGAGGAGACCACCGGGAGCCCCTCTCGCAGTGGGGTGATGGAGGCCAGCTCCCGAGTCCCTGGCAGAGGGCGGGAGTCCAGCCCCACACAGCCTCTGCCCCGGCTCTCACCTGTGTTGAAATAATAGCCCTTGTTTTCCAGGCCCAGGGTCCACAAGCCCTGTGGGTTCTCGTCCCAGAAGTGGGTGGACATGAAGATCCAGTTGTTGTAGCCTTGGCTGCTGACGTCCAAAGGTCTGGGAAGACAGGCAGGTGGGGGCAGAGATGAGGGGCAGCTTTGCAAGTGCACCCGTGGCAACTGGCAGAGCCACGCTGTCTGTGCCAAGTGCTGGTCGCCAGGCTGTGCCCCTCTCCATGGTGGGGAGTGTGCGCGTGCTGGGCCACGTCCAGCTGCTGCCTGAATCCTGGATGTGCCTGGCTCCCTCCCCGTGGGGACAGGTGGGGAAGGAAGCAGCGTGGACAGACAGGGCCACGGCAGCCACCACACACCTGATGGCCATGAGGGTGGAGCGGGTGCCCAGGGGGCTGGTGAGCGAGATCTCCAGGTCCCCACGGCGGCTGTAGGCCAGTGACAGCTGCACCTGCACGTGCTCCAGTGAGCGGATGTAGTTGCGGGAGCCCGCGCAGGCCGACACGTTCTTCCCCACCTTCATCAGCGGCAGGATGGTGCTGGAGAGGTCAGGGGATGAGGAGCCTCTTGCTGGCCGGCTGGGGGGACAGGCGGCCAGCAGGCAGGGTCAGAGCTCAGGGTCATGGGGTCCACCCTCTCATTTTATGGATGGGTAAACTGAGGCCTCAGGGCCTGCCTCTGCCTAGGTGGTAATGACAGGCGTGAGGGCAGGGCTGGGGCTGGTGGGGGGTGGGCATTGGGGGCCAAGGAGGGGCCCTCACATGTGGTTGTGCAGGGCCCTGATGGAGCATTTCTTCTGCGGCCTTGTGGGCAGCCAGGTGCGGGCCATGTCCACCATCAGCCCGGCGTCCAGCAGCCCATAGCCGTAGTGGTGGCTCACTGCATTGGGGGCGGGGGTGGGAGGGAGGCTGTCACTTGC